CGCTGACAGCCCGATGCTCCGAGGCCAAGGCTGCGCTGACCGGGCCTCTTTGGTTGGGGCAGATCCGCTAGCGAGTCACTTGCTCGGGCACGCGTCTGAAAACGGGGTCACTAGGTCATCTCGTGCGGTCGACGCCCTTTTGTAGTGGATCAGACAGGGTCGATCATCGCCTTACCTGGTCCAGTCGTCGGTCCTGTGTGTCACCGTCGGGCCCCGCAGCGGCTCCGTGATCGACGCTATCCTCGTTCCCCGAGGCGGACTCGTCGCTGCTGACCTCGTCATTGACCACCGCGAGCTCCGCCTGTAAGGCGATCAAATGTAAGTCTCCCCGAGTGTCACCTAGAAAGCTATCCTTTCTAGGTGTCACATTAACCGTTTCCCCGCTTCACAGCTGTGCAAAATAGCCGTATCTGACCTACCGACCCAACCGAGACGCGGCTGACCGCGCCCCGGTCCTCGGTGACCGCTCACCAGCCGCGTGCAGGTGAGAGGTGAGGAGGGGAGACAGTGGAGGGATCGCTCTTCGTCACCTCTTACCTGCAAGCGACTAGTGAGCGGTCACCGCTGACGCTGCGGCTGACCGAGACGCGGCCAGTGTAGGGGCAGCGCTGGCCGCGCCCCGGTCGCCTCGGTCGGTCACATACGGTGGTTCTGCACAGCTCTACTGTCCGCCGCCGCCTGCCGGTCAGCCGAGGCCGTCCCGTTACGCGCGCGCGCCCGGCGGGCCTGCCTACCTCGAGCGGCGCTGAGCGGCGCTCGCTCCCAGACTCACCCTCCCGACGGCGACGTCCCCCGCCGCGGCTTCGGTGCGCTGCCCGTCCTCGGCCGCAGCTTCGGCCCCGGCCTCGCCCCTCGCGCGCCGTATCCTCGTCAGGGCTGCAACGACACCAAGCAGGCCGTCATCAGCGTGCTTATTCGTAGCTTACCCTGTCGGAGTGTCAGCAGCTGCGGCCAGCTGAACTGCACGGTCGGTTCATCTTACTGGCTGTGAGAAGGGAGAGCATACATAGTTCCGCAATGAGTTGCACCTTATGTGGGGGCACCTTATGATGTGTCGAGCCGTGCACCCTTGGCATCTCTTACCATTTACACTGTTGGAAATTCTTTTATGTTCCGCATCCTGCAGCTCCTTCCGCATTGCTCGCTCCGCCTCAAGCCCTCCTTTCTCCCTGAAAATAAAAATAATATTACACCTTTCACTAGTGGTTTTGGCATTAGAAAATTACCTTCATATCAAACTCAAGCCCACCAGGCTTCTGCACATCTTCGATCTTTTTCAAACACCGGCCTTGCGTCGAGGTAGGTCAGGTGCCTCTAGAAGACAACAGCAGACTTTTCTCATGAGTTAATGAGTTACGGAAGTGAGAAAGTAGATACGGGTCCGATCGTCCTTACCCCTGGGCCGCCGGCAGCCTGCCCCTCTCCACCCTAACACTTACGCATGCCAGGGTGACGGTCTTTCTGTAGTGCGGGATGCTCTTGATGACGGGGTTGCCCGTGAGAGTGAGCACCCTAAGGTTGGCCATGCTGCTCAGGACGTCCAGGATAGCGACGTCATCGATGTTATTGTGCGACAAGTCCAGCACACCCAGGGTGAGGCAGTGCTCGAGCTCGCGAATATCCTCGGCGTCGTGCAGGCGGTTGTGCGACACGTTGAGGGTGTGCAATGCCGGTAGGGTCCCTATAGAGTCGGGGTGAGAGTGAAAACGCAAACCATGTTAATTTCTTCGTTTACAAGATTTTATTTCTTCTTTGTAGAGAACCGTTTGAGTGTACGTACATAAGTGACGTCTCCTAAAAACCATATCGGTCATAAAAAATACCCCCACCTCAAAACTAGTGCTGATAGCAACTCAATCCCCGTTCCGCTTACTCAAGTTCTGCAGGCGATGCAGTGTGTTGTGGGAGAGGTTGAGGGTGTCCAGCAGCTCCAGGTGTTCCAGGTTCTCTATCGTGCCGATGAGGTTGTGGTGGAGGTACAGGCTCCGGAGCTCGCGCTGTGCCTCCAAATTCTCGATGCAGCTGATGCCGTTGCTCTCCAACCATAAGCACTTAAGGCCAGTGTACTCCTCCAGGTTCTCAATCTTGGAATAACCTACGGTATTTGTGGAGACGAAAATTAACGAACATTTCTCACGAATCTTATTAATATACATTCGTCCCATTGCGCCCTACCCTTACCTTTGTAGTGCAGGTACAAGATGTCATTTAAATGAGGTGTCAGGTATCCCTTGGTCTCCTTGCACAGACGTCTCAACGACTCTTTCGTCATCCTGAAATAGAAGCCCCCCCTTTTAAGGCACTTCCGGTCATTTTTTACAAGACATGATTTCAATATTAGGTTTGCACATTTCAACCTCGGGTACTTATCTTCCTCTTCATTTTCACTAGATCGTCCTCTTTTACTGGCTCCGTTAACGCGCGACATAGTCACGGACTTTATCGAAGAAAGCTCAATGTGGTTGCCATGGCAACTTCACAGCTAGCTGATCAAGCCAGCTAGCTCTGACTCTAGCCGCCGAGCCCAACCGGCCCAAAACCCCAAATGAGAACGGGAACATCTCATTAGGCCAGTCAAGAAATCCGAGATCAGGGGATTATCGAATTTATTCCATAATTCGCATTTCCATCCATATTCCCCTTCCTCTTTACCCCAGGGAGCGGCGACAAGACTAGACAGAACTAGACCCATGCTCATAGTATGAATGGGGACTTCCACCATCATCTCTGCTGACTTCCCTCGTCCCCTCGTTCACCCTGCACTGAATATTTAAGGAACTATTTCAAAGCATATGAGTTTGTAGGAATCTTAAGTACACTTCGCTTTGAAGGAAGGGGAGGGCAGAAAGCAAAAGCCATCGAAAGTGGCCGGAGTGATGCTCATAATGGTCTAGGACGACGGGTTGGGCTTCTTTTCCCCCTCCTCTGACATTGGCGCTAGAACTTGTCTACGAGCTCCATAATCTTGTTATGGACCCAAGGCCAGTCGGCCAAAGCCGAAGCCCATCGTAGTCCGGACCATACTGACGCCTGCTAGTGGACGCGCAGCGAGTCGGAAGTCGGAAAGAGGGAAGCAGCAACCGGTGGGGGGTTGCTTCCCGCTAAGGGTGGTTGTTGCAGTTGTTTGCCAATTGCCAGTTGGTTGGCAGACTTGTCGCGGAGACGGGGACGGGACAGGGCGTCGGAGGGCTGTGGGCGCGTACGTCGCGTCGTCTGCTCTGGCTTGAGGCGGACAGCCTCTCGCCTTAGCAAAAGTTCCACTTAAATGGTTATTAAAGATTTTGTCGACTAGTTTTCTGTTAACTAGTGTGTGCGCTTGCATTCAAAATCTGACCTCGTCGGGAGAGTTAAGGTTGGGTTTCATGAGCCTCCGGCCTTGGACACCCTTTCATTTCCACACAATGAAGACGATGGCAGGTTCTGGGTAAGTTTCTAGGTGAAAGTTTCTCGGACTTGCGAAATACTGTGTGACTAAAGTCCAGGAAACTCAGGCCAGGACCTAGCAGCGGATGGCGGAGAGCTTAATAGACTCAATTGGATCGGTGCGAGCGGGCTGACAGTTGTATTGTATTGTGGCTTAAAGTGACTGCTCTCGGCTGGACGAATATCGTCTGCTGGTTGGTTGGGGAAGCATATTAGCAAAAGAAATTGTTATGTTTATTGGTGCATTCATTGGCTTATTTTAAAAATAATATACACAATTTTTGTCACTGGGTCGTATAGAATTGATCCCTTTATTTTTGAAAGAAGTAGTATTCTGTTCTTCACTTTACTTAATAAAGAAGGTTATGGGATAAGAAAGATACATTTTTTTAAAAACTTCAATTTTATATTTTGTCTGAGGACCTTAACAGTTGAGTTTCTGAGAAATGGGAAATGTATTTTTATTTTCTATTCATCAGGTATGGCTGTCCATTCAGAAAAATATATTCGTACGGCTAATGGTATTCTATGACTAAGATGACACATAGTTATACATCAACAAAACCATCATCAAACTGTGAAGATTCTTGTCAACTGTCAACTAGTTCAATGGATTGGTTTCTTAGAAGAATGCGTTGGTAAGAGTTTATTTCATAAATTTAAAATATTTAAAAGATATGTTTGCTTCCTATGTTTGCTTACCAAAGATTTTTTTTTATTTAACCTTTATAAGAATTTATGTTTCAATTTATTAAAATTTTAATTAATGTATAAAAACTAATGTATAATTACAGTGTGAAATGGCGAAATTCTCCTGCTGTTTGCAATCAAGCATACGTCCCCACAACTGCTGAACACATTGCTAACATCATTACTCATGGGGTGAGTTTCTCAAAGCTCAAGCTCATATCAGAAGAGCAAACTGCCTTTTAAAATTTTTATTTCTGGTATTTTTAACTTGGTTTTTCAGATATTGATCATTCCTAGTACCTGGGCATCATATGATTTGATGGAACGCTCTCATACTGGAGCTCAGTATGTATCAGCTCTAGTTTATGGGTCATCTCTTGTTCTTCTATTCTTCATGTCCACATCCTTCCACACTGTTCATTTCTGTGGTCTGAGCAAGTGAGTAAATACATCCCAAGTGCCATATATTCAAATTTTGATCATTATTAAAGTCTGGGAAGTAATTTTCAGAAAACTAAAGGATCTTCTGCATCGAACTGACCGTGCAATGATCTATGTCTTCATTGCTGCTTCATACTTTCCCTGGCTGATGCTGGGCCCAGTTGGTGCTGATGGGCTAGGCTCTCAACTTTGGTGGTTGATCTGGGTCCTTGCATTTTGTGGTATACTTTATCAACAATTGTTTCATGAAAGATATAAGACACTTGAAACAATATTCTACTGTTTTATGGCCATAGTTCCTGCTTTAACAATAATGCCAGAGGTTTGCTCATCATTTAACTATAAAATCTAATACTCTTCTTCATGTTTGTTAATGTCTTTAATGATCTCTTTCTTTTCCAGGATGATTTCCATGGTTTGACAGAGCTGAAATTTGGGGGTCTTATATACTTAATTGGTGTTTCTTTTTTCAAATGTGATGGCCGTATACCATGTGCTCATGCTATTTGGCATTTAATGGTTGCATTGGCAGCTGCTACACATTACAACGCCATTCAGAAATATCTATATCCGTAGTAGCACTTTGGTGATTCTCAAATACTCTTGCTTCAAATACTAATCAATTGCCAAATTGTATTACAGTTTGTTTGAACTTTGGACAAGTTAAATATTCCTCCTTGTTTTGTTCACCTGTGTTGAAATGAAAAACCAATTGTTGCTCAGGTTGTGAAATTTATAATCATTCTGTGATTGTAATGTGGATGAATTTTAGCGTGCCAAGATTTGGTGGTTTTCTTAGATCTGCCAACCTGTAACTTTTCTTTTCAAGTTACTGTATCATGCTAAGTATGACAACAAAGTGTTAAATAAAACCTGAAATCTCTCTATTTTACTAGAATCGAGCATGAAAAATGCTCATTTGTAGCTTATCATTATTGTTAGCTATAGTGCCAAAGTATAGAAGGGGTGTCCAGTAGTATTGACTTGCTAGGTATTGGAAAGTAGATCCTGATTGTGTATCTCTGAACCTAGTGTACTGTACCAAATATTTTGTTTGAAGAAATGTTTCATGAACGGTTACACTTCTTTTGACTGACATGAATTTTAAATAGTTTGTAGTTTTGATTCCAACCAGTTTTATGTTCATATGGGAATGGTAGGGCGAATTTGGTTCCTCATGTCATAAAGGGAGCAATTCTGTACCACTGTACCTGTAGATTTAGAGTAAAACCCAAAGAAAACTAGAAAGGGGGAGGGGAAGATTATGTGTTAGACATATTTCATTTCAGAATTTAATTAAATAGAGCTCTTTTTCCCATTTACAATTATAATGTAATGTTTAAATGCCGGCAATATTAGTTCATTTTTTTGTTACTGGGTGTTTGGGTGACTAGTCATATTCAAAATTAAACTTAAAATTAATTTCTACAGTTTCTAGGTATGTTTTCACCTCAGATGCTGGTATTTGTTGTACTTGAAAACTGACTCACTAACATGACATTTTTTTTGTGTACAAACTCAGCTTTTTATTTTGTGTAAGCTATTTTACTGTTGTATGTAATCTGTTCTCAGACACTCTTGTGTCAAGTGTCACAAACTAAAGAGGCTACACTAAAGTTAAGATTCTTGTTTGAAAACTGGAAGAAATTATTTAGGTAGATCAGTGTATTTTTGTTTGGATAGTTTTAAAACCCCCACTAGATTATTTGAATTAGTTTTTTGTTTTTGTATTGTGTTTTATGCTTTGATTATGTTTTTCTCACAATTTTAATGTACCCACTCTCACTGTGAGTTATTTATTTGCTCGTTTTGGTCTTGGTGCACTCTCAAATTGTGTGACTTAGTCATGAAAAATTAATTTTTCCGTATATATTATTAAAATGTGATCAACACAGCTCAAATTGCTTTCAGGAAGAGAGCTTGAATTTGCTCATTGTCTGTGATGTTAAGAATGCCATTGTACCTTCTCTTTCAATTACGTGTTAAGGAACTGTTTTTAGGTGATCGGCATGTCAGTCTGAATGTTAACTCTTAGATTATTGTAATTCCCAACTAAGGCCTACTATATTTTTTGCAATTCCATTTTCTGAAAGAAGTGTTTGAACTCAAATTTGCAAGCACGGTGTTGTATGTTTATATCTGGTTTTGAATTTTCTGTAAGAAAAGTTTAACTTGCTGCATGCTGATTTTCCAGATATCATAGCTAATTGATCTGTTTTGTTGGTAGTCTTAACAGAATGTCTTCCCCAGATACTGGGACCATATCAAGTCTTTTAATTTCCATTTTGATTTTTCTCCTTTGTAGAAATTGTCATGTTTTCATACTGCACTTGAATCAAGAAAGAGGTCATTTTAAAAGGTATGCTCCAGCTGTATTTCTCCTGACTTTCAACTACCGAGTTCTACATGGAGAATACATATTGTATTAGTAGAGACTTTGCCTACCTTTAATAACATTCCCTTCATAGTAATTAATTCCTGTTTTGCTGTGACTGATATTCAAAAAGAAACTTTCCTATATTTGAGGGAAGATTTTCTGTGAAATGATTTACCATACTGAGGATAAAATAAAAAGAGAAATGAAAAAGTATCACTGTGGTGTTCCAATTTATATTTGTTAATTCCAAGAATATACAACCTATAAAATTTTTCATTCACACAGCAAAATATCATTCTCCTTTATAAGCAGGAGCTCTCTTCTCTCTGAATGACTTAAGCCCTTCAAGTCGATCTTTAGTAGGGATTAGTCTAGCATAACATGCCTCTTCAATGAAACAGCCAGAATTTATATCAACCTCCATTCCTCTATTTATTGCCGATTTGGCCATTTGAACTGCTATAGGTCCATTCGGTAGAATTTCGGATGCAATTGACAGAGCTTTCATGTAGGCAGCATCCTGATCTGCATTTTGCTCTACCACAGAGTTTACCAAACCCATTTGAAAAGCTTCTGTTCCAGTCAGTATTCTGCCAGTAAATATTAGTTCCTTAGCTTTTCCGACTCCCACTATTCTTGGTAGCCTTTGAGATCCTCCAGCACCTGGGATGATGGCTAATTTAGTTTCAACTAATCCCATCCTTGATGAAGATGAAGCTGTTCTTATATCACAGGCAAGGGCTATTTCCAGGCCACCACCGAGTGCAACCCCATCTAGGGCAGCTATGACAGGGCAAGGTAAGTTTTCAATGTAATTTGTCATCATTCGTAACTTATTGACAAATGCATTCACTTCAGCTTGCGAGAAAGATGCCCGTTCTTTTAAGTCAGCACCAGCACAGAAAACTTTCGGAACAAGGCTGCGTAGTATAACAATTTTAACACTGGGGTCATACCGTATTGCTTCTAAAGAGTCACACAGCTGGTTGACAAGATTTTTACTCAAAGCATTTTTTGCTTGAGGGCGGTTGAATCCCAAAACTGTTATTCCACTGAGGTCTGCCTGGAGGTGAGACACCTGTAGATCTTCCCCCTCACTAAAGGGTTTTCCAGACACTGATACTCCTCGGCAAAAGGTTTTAAGATATGAGTGAGGTGAATTAATCGATAACGAAAAACGTACAAGCTGTCGTAAAGCCATAATTGCACTCCTTGGTGTTAGACTAGAACTGTTGCGGAGGACGATGATTCCGCAAGGCGGCAAGTGCGCAGGCAAAGTTCATGGCGCGTCGTCTGCTGTGCGCCGTCTGCTCTTTCGTAACGAAAACCACTGATGCCAAACATAGCAAGAGATAAACATAGCCAAAACGAATCAAGCTGACAGCAGGTTACATCGTTTTCATATGTTTCGAGTAATTTGTAATATTTATGCTGGTTTTCAAAAAAGGAAAGTGTAATTTAATTCTTAGAAAACTTACAAGATAAAGTAAATATTCAATTTCTCATACTGTCCCAAGAAGCGCCATGTTTGTACCCAGCCGCCATTGCTTGGTTTCAGTGTTACCAGACGCCCCGCATCCCCGCATTTTGTACCGCATTTTCGGGGGCCAATCCACAATCCGCATTTCTATTTTGGCCAAAATCCACATTTTTTGTTCTGTACTTCTTATATAATTTTGACCCAAGCGCCTTTTTTCCGCATTTGAATCCCCAAATCCGCATTTCAAGCTCCGTCCGTCCCCAATGGGGATGGCGACTGCCACTTGCGGCCGCTAGGAGCGCTAATGGGCCATGAGTTCAACTCTCGCTTCGAGACCGCGCTTCCCCATTGTGTCATATGGGTAACAGTGGCATCGAATAAGTGCTTGTTTTAAAAGAAATTGACCGAAATCTCGGGACTTTTTTGTGTTAATGGGGACAATAGACATAGGGTGCATTTCTGACGAAGAGATGCAGAGGAAATTATTCGCCGTAATAAAGGGCGAGTCGTTTTAGTTGGGCCGACCTACCGCGGCTGCCGTGAGCCTTCCTCTCATCGTATTTTTGCTATAAAAACATGAAATAAATCATTTAATATTAAAATCTACGTCTGCCTGAGTGAAAGCATCCGATAAATGACAGTGCCCTTGCTAATTTAACGTTTATGTCATTGAGAGACGCTTTTTTCCCCCTCGATTTGAACATACCGTTACCTGCCTTCGTTAATGTGATTTAACAGGTTATTTTTGACGGAATTGGAATGTTTCTTGACTTTAATCTATTATTTTCTATCCAATCTTACATCTAGTGTTAACCTTTACTCTCTATATTTCTTCCCCGTTTCGCAAACGCGTATTTCGGTACCCCTACAACAAGCAGAGTTTGAATCGCGCGCACCACAGTTGAACTCACAGCCCACTAGCGCCCTCTGCCCCGAGCTTCTCATATCGCCATCCCCATTTCACTCTTCGGATCCGGCAACACTGCTTGGTTTCTGTTTTGTAAACACAAACAAACAACACCACTGTATCCAAATTCGGCAGTTTAGCGAAATTTTGACAGTTTTCGTTGAGAGAAAAGAGCTCAACATATCACAATGCCAAGAGGCCGTCCCAGAAAGAATAATCCAGACTCGTCGTCACCGATGTGTGGACCGGCAATCCCGATGGACCCCACCTCTAACCAAGATGGTCCTCCAGAGTCTGCTTCAGGTCGTCCCACCAGAAACAGAATCGCAGTGCGGAAATTTGGAGCTGCTTCAGAAGAACATTATCGGCTTGCTATGAAAATTCATGCTGGGCACACTTCAGTTCAGCAACAGCCTATGCAACCGTCTCCGCCACCGCCCCAGAGGGCTGGATTAGATGATGCTGGAAATGGTTATGTTCTTATTCATAAGAGCTTTTGGAATAACATGTGCTCTAAGCTTGGTTGCTCCTCTTGTGGAAAAAAGAGCGTTCAAATGAAGACTGAGAGGCTGTCTGGGCTGGCTTGCAAACTCATAATGTATTGTACGGCTTGTGGAGTCGTCCTTAGTCAAGTTACTACAAGCTCTGAAGACAGCGGCAGCGGTGATGCTGATCCAGAGGATGAGTTGGACTTTGATGTTAACAGGCGTTTTGTCAAATTCTTTGTCAGTGAAGGAAAAAGTTATGATGATGTTGCTACCTTTAGCAAAACTCTAGGCATTCCAGTAATCAGCAAGAGTATGTTTGAAAAGTACAAAACTGATTTGCTATTAGTTAAAGATTAGCCCGAAGATATTTTAAGTAGTATTTGTTTTAAGTGGATAATTTATAAACAGCACCAATTATTTTATAATTTTTCTTCTTGATCTCAGCTGTTAAGTTTAAGTTTTATTCTGTAGGTAAATTAATTCAATACAGATGTTTCCTTTAATTTTACAACCACCTGTGATTTTCCAGTTATTTCTTTGTTTTGTGTAAAATTGTACTCAATAAAGTGTTTTGTTTCCAGCCAGATCTATTTGCCTATCTAATCTAATATGTATTACTGTCAAACCCCAGAATTTTTAGATATCCCAATGAAGAAATTTATCACAACTGGCAAGGGGGATATGGCAGGAGAGTTTTAACGTCTCCTGGATATGGCGTTAGCGACTAGGGGAGTAAGGGAGTGGGAGAGTGGGGGAGTAGGGGAGCACTATACCATAATAGGAGGGAGAATGTGGGACATGCATGGGAGGTGTACTGACAAAAAAAAAATAATGAAAAATATAGAGGAAGTATTTTTGATGGTGTACCCGTGTACCTGTCCTCCATCTTCTCCCCTCCCCTCTTCCCATTTTCTTCTACTTGTTGCTGGAGAGGGGGGGGGGGGTCGTGATTCCGCTCCGCTCTAAAGGCAAAGGCGGCTGCGCACGCAACGGCCGCAACGCTACAAACCAGCTGAGCCAGTTTTGTCGTGTTGCAGCAGTCCGACGTGCATTAGCTTTCTGGAATTTTACTGCTCACTCTGCTCTGCTGTCCGGGAAGAGGTACTCTGTCTTTAAGCAGTTTTATTTTATTGGACTTATTTTTTTGATTTGGCGTTATGTAATGCGGCTCTGGCAAGCTTATCTCACACGTGCACGATAGCCCGGTATTTACTTATTTGTTCAAGTTTTGCTGCTTTGTTGACGATTCAAGCGTTACTGTCTTAAATTTCGTCACTTTTTGTCGTTGGTATTGACCATGTAGCCGGGTGTCCCTTACAAACTCACTCTCAAACTGTTGGTTGCATCTCCTCCTGAACAACATATTTGGAAACTGATAAGTTGTTGAAAACATATTGAGCAAAGCCGAGGGCGGGGTTATCGCCTCATCAACTCTGACCAACCTAAACTTGGGGCCAGCTAGAGGGTCAGAGCAGTCAGTCAGAAACAGTACGCTGAGTGGCACACACATTTAAGCATTTAACGCATTGTAAGAGGGCTCAAACAAGGCTCCACCAACCTGTGTTAATCTTGTTGAGCGTGTTACTCTATTGTGCATTCAATCTTTTCCAGAACATCCGCCAAGATGGGTGATGATCTCCAGAAGATGCTCCATGAGAACATTTGGGATTCCGATCCTGAACTGTTTGAACTAATGAAGAAAGAGAAGCAGAGACAAATGAGTGGTTTGGAGATGATTGCATCAGAAAACTTCACCTCCCTATCAGTATTGCAGTGCCTCTCATCATGTCTGCACAATAAGTACTCAGAAGGCCTGCCAGGTCAAAGGTCAGTATAGAAATTGATAGACTTTTCTGAAATGTGTAGGTTTACATCTATTTTAATGTATCTTTGTCTTCATCACTAAATTTATTGTCATGGTTCTACGTTTGTTATAGGTACTATGGTGGTAATGAATTCATTGACCAGGTTGAGCTCCTTGCTCAGAAACGCTGCCTTGAAGCCTACAGGCTCGACCCCAATGAGTGGGGAGTCAATGTTCAACCATACTCAGGATCTCCTGCCAATTTTGCTGTATATACAGCACTTGTTCCACCTCACAGCCGTATTATGGGTAAAGAATTAAATAGTCATTGTACATACAGTTTTAACTTTAACAATTTTTATCTGTGAGAAACCTAACTTATGTTTGTAATCTTAGGTTTGGATTTACCGGATGGTGGCCACTTAACCCATGGATACTTCAATCAAAACAAGAAAATATCGGCAACTTCTATTTATTTTGAGTCAATGCCCTACAAAGTAAATCCTGAAAGTGGTTTGATCGACTATGACAAGCTAGATGAAACCGCTAAGCTTTTCAAGCCTCAAGTCATTATCGCTGGTGTGTGTTAAAATATGTTCCCTGCACTCTTCACTAATACTATTTATCTAATACCTGAATGTGTTTTTTAGGAATTAGCTGCTATTCCAGATGTCTGGACTACAAACGTTTCCGTGAAATTGCTGATCAAAATGGCGCTTATCTCTTTGCTGATATGGCTCATGTCAGTGGCTTGGTTGCTGCTGGTATCATCCCGTCTCCTTTCGAATACAGTGATGTTGTTTCAACTACAACTCACAAAACTCTCCGTGGGCCTAGAGCTGGTATCATATTTTTCCGCAAAGGCAAGTTTTAGGGAGAAAAGTTACCTATAACATTAATGTAAATGTTATTAAAATTCATTACCATTTTTGAATATCAGGAGTTCGCAACATTGGAAAGAATGGTGAGAAGATAATGTGGGACCTGGAAGCTCGTGTCAACACTGCAGTTTTTCCCACACTGCAGGGAGGTCCTCACAACCATCAGGTAGCCGGTATAGCAACTGCAATGAAGCAAGCTAAGACACCAGAGTTCAAAAAGTACCAAGAGCAGGTAATGTAGTACTTCTCTAGTATAGGGAATTAACTTTTTGATAGCAATTTAATAATCTTGCAGCAAATTTTTGAATTATTCCTTTTGTAAAAATTCTAGGTAGTAAAGAATGCCAAAACTTTGTGTGCGGGACTTCAAAAAGCAGGCTATAATATTGCAACTGGTGGTACTGATGTTCATCTCGTGTTAGTAGATTTGAGAAACATTGGTTTATCTGGTGCCAAAGCTGAGTTTGTCCTGGAAGAAATGCACATAGCCTGCAACAAAAACACAGGTAATTTTCTAATCCTGTTGTCCTTGGCGATATATTACACTGTGTTCGAAAAGACAGTTTCATTGGTTATTATTCAATGTATTATTTTTTTCAGTTCCTGGTGACAAGAGTGCTTTTAATCCTAGTGGTATCAGACTGGGCACACCTGCTTTGACCACCAGGGGTTTTGTTGAGAAAGATATTGAAAAAGTTGTTGACTTCATTGATAGAGGTATTGTCTCTTAATCACTTTCAAAGATGCTTCTTAAATTAATATAATATAATTAATACTTTCTACAAGATAACTGTTGTCTCTCTTGTCCTTGTGTAGGTTTGAAGTTGGGTTTGGAGGTTGCCAAAGCATCAGGACCCAAGCTAGTTGATTACAAGAAAGAGATGACTGAAAACACTGCTTTCTCATCCAAAATTGAGAAGCTGAGACAAGAAGTGCACGAGTTTTCCCGCAAGTTCTCCCTTCCAGGCTTGAAAGACTTCTAAGAATTACGCCACTGCTATTGTCTTACTCATCACTTGTTATTGAAGACACACATTCCACTCTTCTCTAATGTTAGTTAGGAATAATTTTTTATTATGAACAGTTTAAGTTATGAAATGTACCTGTGTCGCTGCCTTAAAACCAGCAATTTTTAAAAAATTACAATGTAATCATTTTAAAAAATTAAATTTATTTTGAGTAAAAAATTAATACTTGAAGGCATTATTTCTACCTTTTTACAAAGTACATAAAATACAATTCAGAGTGGTTCATTTTTAACAATCTCTTCACAACTTGAAGCCAAAAACCACAAATTGCAAATTAAAACTGTCTGAGTGTAGGTCCAGATATGGTGACAATTTAAGGACAGAAAGATAGAAAAAAATGAATCCACTACCTGCAACACAACTGAGCTTGTACATAAAAGTGAGGTGACCTCTGACTTACGTATGATTGCATTGACTGGTAAGTGGATGAAATTACCGAAAATGGAGGACAAATACATTGAGACATATTAGTGAAGTACAGAAAAATACATTGTGTACATTTTATAAACAATAAATATCACAACTAAAGATTCAACATAAATAAAGTTGTACTACCATCTCAAAATTGTTATTTGAGTCACAGCTTGAATTGAGAAGCAGCATCACATCAAGCTAAAAGACTAGATGTCTCAAAAAGCTACAGGAGACACAGGAAATATTGGAGATTCAGATGGACATTTCTGAAAAATAGACAAGCCCACTATAGGTCTTTTTACATTGGTTAATCAATCAACAAAAGATTGAGGAATTTCAGATCGACACACAACTATGAGCAATTGACATTATTATTCAGTATATGACTGAATTATAGCAATTATAAAATTGTGAAACACAACAAAGTTGTGATAGTAAAGTAATTAGTGTGATGCCAATACAACAGACAGCTAACTTCTCCTCAGAATACTGCAAGACACAAAATGTACAATAAATATTTGATCATAAAATTTCAAAATTATAACATAGGAGGTAAATCTTACAGGATAGCAAAATACGAGAGTTATTTTACAATTGATCCGATAATAGGAATACTTTCCTGTCAAACTCAACATACATAATTGTAATTTAGGCACTTTTGTCAGAAATAGCAAATTAAAAGTAATAAGCAGGTCTCAAACCTTCACTTTGGAAAAAGCAGCTATGATATATCAAGTTAATGACGCTTATGTTTACCATGTTGATCTAGAAAGAAAAAGAATCTAAATCATACAGGTACAATTTACCTAATCTAACAACTTTTGCAGATTTTTGAGATGCCTTGTAATCGAATAATCTACTAGTAAAAATTTGGCACCAACTGTTGTACAGATAGAACGGATTACCAACACAAGATTGAGGACATATGCATATGACAATGTAAATGCATAAGGGACCTAAATTTATATTGAAGGATATGCTCCCACACAAGTCACCGAGTCATCACTCAAAGAAAGACCTTAAAAGTCCACACTAAGTCCCACAGTGTATAGCACAGCCTCCATCGTTCATTGAAATGAAAAATAAAAACTGTGCTTTACACTGAAACAATATCAGACAGAAAAGGAAACAGTTGAAACTTTTAACCAGTGCAAACTGTTTCTGATTTTTAAAAAATGTGCAACAAAAATTATCTACTTACATATGTTTAGTGACAAACAGAGTTCAAGAATTGAATACAAAACACAAACAAATTCTTTGAGGCAAACAACAAGTTAAAAGAAAAAACCAAGAACAACAACATCTAATACTTATTTATGAGACAATCACCATTTTTACAGATTTAAATTAATCATAAACATTCATTCCACAGCCTTCATAGCCTCCCATTTTAAACAGGTAGTCCTTGGTCAATACAATAAAAGGCATTCCAGCATAGCACCAGTCTTAATTTTGTCAAAACTACACCTTTGGCTTCAAACAATACAAGATAATACACAACAATCCATCAAAAATAATTATCAGGGCTAGTTAAATTTATGTTCAATAAAGAATCCTCAGTATTTTTATGCAACAGGCCAGGCCAATAGCTAAATATACTTGCTGAGTACAGTATAAAAATTATATCAAAAATACAGTGTCAAAAAATACTTTTGATGATTCTGAACTCCAAAATAGTTTGCAGATTTAGATGATATTGAGAATTATAAGCTATAGCTCAGTAGTTATTTCATCTTGAGGACGGAAACCAAGAGTAAGGAAGTCATCTTCATCTAGAAATTCTCTAGCACTGGGCCATTCGTTCATAGCTGTGCAGTCCCATAAGCTATCATCAGCACAAGAGTCACTCCAGTCACCACTAATGGGTCCAATAGGACCCACAGGCTGAGGGCTACTCGGATTGGAAGCTGCCTGAAATGAAGACAAACTATTTGATTTGGGAGCATTGCCCAGGTGAGTAGAGTAGGTGGGGTTTGTCTGGATTTTCAAAAAGTTAACAAGCTGATCAACCTGAAAAGAAAGTAATAATAGTTAATTATCATAATACAGGTGATTCCAGGTGAAGAGGTAATAGGTTTTAAGATACAGCACCTCTTGTGGATTGTGCTTTTTGTACCGTCGCAGAACTCTCTCTCCCCATCCCAGAAGTGTGCGCCAGTCATCCGGAGGATAAGTGATACAGTCATCACGACGATTCAGGAGAATTAAGATGCGTGATAAATCTTTCAATACAGGCCTGCATTTTCAAAATTAATCCAGACAATTGAAATTAGAAACTAGAATTATCTTTAGAGAGGAGGAAATTTTTTGAAGTCATATGCTCCTAGGCACCACCTTACCTGTAGGCTTGGACTGCAGAATGTTTGCTAGTGTGCGCTTGAAGCAAAGTTCTCACTTGTCGTCTGGTGTCATTGAGCATAGCCAAAAATATAGGTGCTTCAGAGCGTAATGTCCAGATATGTTTCAGAAACTCTCCTCTCTCAGCTGCGTCTCCTGTCAAACAAATACGAGACGTGTTAAAAAGTGGACAGGGTTGTAATCGGTTGTAATAAATCCAAATTTTAAGATTGAGAGAAAGGGAACTTGTCTGGAACCTCACCATGACTATGTCTACTAATAGTTGATTGAGCAGAGCCAGCAGATAGGTGCTGCTCTTCTTGTTTCCAATGTCTTGTAGACCTTGAGCGACGAAACCGCAAGAGGATTCCAGCTGCGACTAACAGCAGAATGCAAATAGCTGCTCCACAGAGTACACCTACTACTACAGATAGTCTAGAGCCAGAAAGAGCTAGCGCACCAAGTAGAAGAGACCCTTCTGAAATAAAAAAACATAAATTAGCTCTGAATTATGTAGGTATTACTAATCACAGCAAACTAATACAGAATATAACAAACCTGCACACACTCGTCCCATATAGTCGATTTGTGATGACCATTCTTCACGGTAACCAAGAGGACATGAATCTACACATAATCTTGATTCCATGACAATGAGATTGGCGCACTTAACACATAGAGATCCGCCCGTGTCAGCACTCCGACACTTAAGACAATCCTCCATAGTAGCATTACAGCCAACTAGAAATCAAGAATGGAAACATAAAAAGTAAATTAACAGTTTTGATGTAAAATAAAGTACAGCAATAACTCGCCAAGAAGTAGCATGGAACATTTTTAATAAATGAGAACAAGTGGGACAGTGGTTTCTCCCAGAAAATTGAATGCTTGATGGAACAGATTCAATGGCATGTATCTATAAAGGCAAAAGAGAATTTTGAATTGTAGCATACCTTACCAAATGCTATTTAGAAAGGAACAGTTACTTTTAAAATAAAAGGAGATCAAGAGCAAGAGAGGCGTGTCTCATGTGAAACTGGTTCTTCAAGCACATGATGAGACGCTTTGTATGTCTTTCAATGAATATTAAATGAATGTAATCGTTAATTATGAATGGGGTAGATCAATGTAATTGATTTCAGTTTAAAGGCATACATGTAGAATGAGGTAAATTTCAACCAGGGATACTCACTTGATGGTTGTAATGAGGTCAGATCACCTATGAGGCAGGCAAGTAGCATCCAACTAACCAGCCACACGTCTCTCGACGGGTTCGACATGGCACATGCATCATAGAAATTACAGTTCTGAGGACGTAAGTGAAAACATCCCTATAAAGTAATTACTCAATTAATTCCATTTGAGAATTTTGCCTTTCACCATAACACACAGCTTTCTAGGAATACGTAAACAAGCTGACCTGTGGTCCTAGATGTGGTGCAGAGGCAGAGGTGACACTACGGGCAGAAGTCCGTTCGAGTTGGAGGTTTGAACCGTTAGAACAAAGAAAGGACTCCAACAAAAAGTTAAGAACACAAACAACTTTTTAAATAGTTCAATTTTAAAATAATGCACGCGTGACAGCACGTTGACTCTGAAAATAGACGCGGGAGGAAAGATTGTGCGTTACTGTACAGAAACGAAAGAAACGCACAACGCACACACGGATGTGATGTTCTCATCATCTAACATTTCGACCTGTTTCCGGCAGTTGTAAAATTTTCCTACGCAAGTCCACGCAAAATCACCTCATTTTCTAGGTTTCCCGTGTCTTCGTCTCCTTTTATTTACTCGTCACAATGCCGAAAGGTTCGATACTTTATCTAGAATAATTTTGGGGTTTGCACTGTCTATATTGTAGTAGATTTCCATTCGACTAGTTTGTAACTAATCGGGGACCCACAGAACTGTTACTTGACTTATAACTGCTTTTGTTTAACACATTTTTTACTAAATTTTAAATGTAGAATTCTTATTTTCTGTACTCCCAATTTTCAGCATCTAGAGTATTTTGATTTCCGTTTAGAGGTTTTTAAATTTGGATGTACGGGTGCCGTATTGTGTTTGTAGGTTATGTTGTTGTGTTGTGTTGTTGGGTTTCAAGGAAGTTATTTTCACGGAGTTAGCTTCCCTTCAGAATTTGAAGTTTTCGCCAATATTTTCACATTTTTTTGGTCCTCAAAAAAGCTTGTGTTTAGCCACTATAACTTTCAATACAAATTTCTCAGTTTTCTGTAGTGCACCTTCCTTTGTGTTGGCCATATATTTTTATAATTTCCGGGCAATTGTTTCGTCTTTCGTCCTGTGAATGGTTTGTTTATTGATTTTTTTCGCACAGGTAGAGGAGGAAAGTTTGTTAACCACAAAGGGAAACATCGTTCATTCACTAATCCTGATGAATTAGAAGAACAGCGCAAACGTGAAGAAAAGGAACGGCAGTGGAGGGTGAGTTTTTCTTAATGTGCTGTGTACATTCCGTCTTTGAGCAGTATGCCTATTATTGCTTGTATTTTTCTTAGGCTGAGCGAGGAGAAGTTACTTCAAGTGAAGAGGAGGAAGATGACGAAAAGAAGGGCTCTGACGAAAGTGATTCAGAAGAAGAATCATCATCAGAAGAAGAAGAAGAGGTATTATTATAATTTACTATTATGGAACTATCTCATGTGATCTTAAAATCTGTAAAGTTATTTTTTCTTGTGCACAGGGAAAGGCGAAGGGAGTGGAAGGTTTAATTCAAGTTGAAAATCCTAATAGAGTTCAAACTAAAGCAAAGAAGTTATCAACTCTAAATACAGAACTAGCCAACACTGCCAGCACAAGCACTAAACCAGAACTCTCAAGAAGAGAAAGGCAAGTTATTTTGTCAATTAGTATTATTATTTTTCTGAAGACCAAGCTAAGTGTGGCATATTATTTATACCCTGCTCTACAGGTTATTATGTAAGAAATGTGTCTTCCTGAAATGTTTCAGTGTAGGTCTGAACAAATCTTCTTTGTTGTAGGGAGGAATTAGAAAAGCAAAGAGCTGCAGCAAATTATCAACGTCTTCACGCCAAAGGAAAAACAGAAGAAGCTCGAGCTGATCTCGCAAGGCTTGCAATTATCAAGGCTCAGAGAGAGGAGGCAGCAAAGAAACGTGCCGAAGATGCTAAAAGTAAGAATTTTTGTTGATTTCTTTCTTACCAATAGATTTCTTCAATGGATATCCTTAAAATGTCAACTCCCTTTTGTTTTACTAACATCCTTTATTTCTTCTCTTTTCCAGTTAAGGAGGTTGAAGCTCAGAAAAAGAAACAAGCAACTCAAAAGGCTCTTGGCAAAAAAGTTTGAATTGTCAAAGAACTCATAAAATGTCTGTCAGAATGTTCTTTGTTTGCCATTGTGTTTCCTTCCAATGTCGAGATCCATGCAACCTCTGAGTATGTGACTTTGGTTTCTGACTATTGTAAAATTTTGTTGCTCATGGCTGCTCTCTGTGGGACTCAATATTTTGTTTTGGAATACCTGATACTGATAATTAATACTGAAGAACTGTTTCTACTGGCTTTTGTCTATTTTTTCTACTCCTGTAATTTTCTAATGTGTATAGCATTCCATCTCTAAGTTTTCAATTTTGTACGTGGGCTTACAGATTTAAATTTGTTGTAGTACATATGAAGTATAATTGATTTTAGTAACGACCCCTGTGCAGGTAGAATCTTTTGGTATGATCTGTTGATTAGTAATATACCTAGCCACATCAACAATGAAATTCTTGGGCACCTTACTGAATTTTTAATGAATTTTTTTTTTAAATCTAGTCAGTTTGTGGATTAAGACATTTCATCACTATGTGTTTACTTCAATGTATACCACTTAGTGGTCCTTCTTGTAAAAGGATATTTACACTCATTGTACTTTATACTTGTGCCTAACTGAAAAAATCTAGTTTGCACCACTTACACATTACTGGGTAGAGATGATATTGGGCTGATATTCCTATTGGACAAGAAAAAACAAATAAATTTAGCTTCTTGTTGTTCTGCTGCAATGCTGTGATTTCTGTTGTTTTAACTGCACATCAGTTTCACTGATGTAATTTTGTTTTGAAGTGTTGTGTAATTTAAATTTATTTGTATGTACAGCGCCTCTTGTCTGCTTCTGGTTCAGAGCTGAAGCAAACAATTTTTAATGAAATTCAGGTTTATATTCCTTTTGTAGAAATTATAGAATAGGTAAATAAATCAGGAGATTACAGCACATTTTGGGTAATATCAATTATTTTCCTGGGTGATTTGTTATCCTGTTCAAGAAGTGGTTAAAGATGTTGAATGAAATTTGAGGCTTTATTGAATACAGATAAATTACAGTAAGTTTGAAATACGGGCCTACAAGGATATGGCATGTTTTGTCATGTGTGAATTGATGAACTTGTAGCCCTGACTATCTCCCACTTGGCAAATTTCAAAATATGAAGGGGTTTATTGCTGCAACAGTACTCCCGCCAATTTATCACATCTCACATATGGTTACACGTATTTACACTTTCATTTTATACATAACTTGAGCATGATTGTTCTCCAACGAGTTCATTGAGATCACATGGGAATCTCTGCTGATTTCAGGAGGGAGTAAGTCACATTATCTCGCACGCCCACTCTTTCCTGGAGTAGGCAGAGGGTGTCTCAGTACCCCATCCCTAGTTACCCGGATCAATCGACCGCAACTGCTTCTGGAAAAATGTGTGCAGTTACGTTGGTTTGATCGGGGGATGCCTTCAAGTGCAGCGAGCCATCAGACGAGGACAGGAGACCGCCGCCTTGTGTGCCGGTGGCGGTGGCGCCTGCTGCGGCCTGGGCTCCCCGTCGTGTCCGTGTCCGCGGCCGTGTCCGCGGCCGTGTCCGCGGCCGTGTCCGGGCGCGCAGTCTCCTCACCCTCACCCGCCAGCGAGTCCGTCAGGGAGGCGGGGGCGCGCCCCGCGGAGGGCTGATGCCCGGGCTGGGGGCGGTGGGGTGAGGGGGCGCTTTGCTACGAGTGGAGGACGTGGGGGCCGTTGGGGCCCTGTGCCGCCGCCGCCGCCGTCGACACCTGCTGCTCGGCCGGCGTGGAGGCGGCCGCGCGGTGGTTGTGGTTGTTCAGGTGCTGGTGGTGATGATTGTTGTGATGGTGGTGGTGGTGGTGGTGATGGTGGTGATGGTGGTTGTCGTGGTCGTGGTGGTTCGCCAACGGCACAGGGGCTGCGCCACCACACGCGCTGTCCCCACTGGACTCAACTTGGGTGGCCGGGGCGGCAGGGACGGCGGTTGGCGGGGGCGGCGACTGCACCAGCCTCTCCACGTCCATGTCGATGTAGTCGAGCGACGAGAGCCTCGCGGGGTTGGCGGTGATGATCTAGCGAGAGCAATCGGAGAGTAAGCACGAGGTTGGCGGGCACATACAGAGTCTAACGGGTTGTTTTCTCACCTCTGTGGCAGATCCCGTTGACCCCTTTTTGGGGGTGGATTGCACGGAGCCGTTTGCGGCCTGGAGCTGCTCCGCGTCCTCGTCGCCAAGGCGCGAGGCCGGCACGACGCCCTGCTCGGGGTCCTCCGTGCCCGGCGCCCGCACCTCCTCGACGGTCGGGCCGGGGCGCGGGTCGGCCGCGGTAAGGTCGAGGTCCAGCAGCGACGTCTGCTGTGACCGGCTCATCTTGATGCCACCGTTGGCCACGTACTGGGGCGCTGTGCAAACGAAGGGACGCGTTGCACCAGACCAACCCTAAGTACATCACGCCCAGAACACGAAAACACTCTGATGATCACTCACGATCGTCGCTCTGCGTCGCCTTGTGCAGCTTGTCGGGGGCCGTGGTGGAGGCCGCGGCCGTGCCGATGGCCGCGGTGGGCACTGCGGGCCGCATGGCCGTGGAGGCCGTGGCCGCAGAGCTCTTGATGGTGGTGGGCACCTTGCTCGTCTTGGGCATCATGGACTGGCGCACGTTGCGCTCGGGGTGGAAAACGATGATGTAGAGCTGCGCCACGGGTCAAGCCATTCCTTTATTTGATTTTGAAACACTCAGCCGCGGCAGCGTTTACGGCACAGTTTAACTACAGAACCCTTGCAGTAAAGTAAATTACCCCCATTACCCCCATACCTTGGGCGTGAACAGGCAGGCCACGGTGACGAACGCCGACAGCGAGATGGTGACGGACATGGAAGTGATCCTGAGCGCCACGTGGTTGGCCGTGGCGAAGAACAGCGGCACGAAGGCCAGCCAGATGACGCACGTGGTGTACATGGTGAAACCTATCGAAGCAAGCACGTGGCCGTGTGAGTTACACTGCGGCCCCTGATGGCGCCCTCCCCCATTTGCCCTTTATCGCCTTTATCCTGATTCATTTCACCTGTCCATGGGCCCGCT